CATTCTGTATAGCGGTTATTACTCTACTTTGAAAAATTCCCGTATGAAAACGCAACATGGCTTAAGAGGGATCCAATTTAATTACAATAAAAATAATTGTAATTAATGCTTCAGAGTTTCTAGATTCCTCCATTTTCTGCAACCGGTGAAAGTATTGCTAATTTCATAGCTTGAGTTAAATCAATAATTAATTTACGTCTTTGTGTCTATAAAACACAACGAAGACAATTCACGTACTTCGAAGAATCAATGTTTTATTACTTTTTGAAACATTTCATTTCAGTACTTTTTCACAGATTTCAATGAAACATTTTACTTCACAGTGTATATACTTATATATGTGGACAACTTCTGTTTTTAATATTTAATACATACGTTTAACCATATTCAACAAATTAGTGTGATTACAGATACCCTCTGGTGGCAGATCACATAACATCTTTAAAACAACGTATATATACAACAATATTGATCGAGTCATATATGAAGTTATTCACTCTGTCCTTTAACGAAACAATGTTATTGCAGGTATAGAATAATATAGCAATGACATATTTCAAGTAGCAACCCACGTATAAACAAACAAACAGAAAAGTCAGTTCAATACCGACTAACCATTGATCGAAACAATAAAGAACAGATTTCTTATCATCTTACCGCAACAATATATACATAACAATTCTTTTATCTGAGAGTATTACCAAAACATAACAATATATTCACACTTAAAACAATGATTTACCATTAGCAGCTTGGCTCTTCTTTACAGTTTGTTTTACAACACAGTAACAATTGAACAAGCATTAACATTGATTCTCTCAGATATAGGATCTTTTTCCTGCCCTTTGTAAGAGAACGAGAAAAAACCATTCTGTGATTCAAAGATCACGTTATTAATTTCAACCAGCTTTACAAGGAAACGATCCACATGTTATAAAAATGTAGAGTAATAGTGTTCAATAAGAAAGTATTCAAACTGTGTGTTAGTTCAATTTCTAAAGCTATTTTAGTTTTTTTTCGTTTGAAAAGGGTTCGTTTTACAACCATCTTTTCGAGATGTGGTCACATTGTTACTTTAACAAAAGGACTTTTACTGGTTGAAGAAGTTAGATGAGTGAAACTAAAGCCCTCTGGTTGCATTAAAACATGTTCAAAAGGTACAATTTTAAAAAAATGGTTATCATCAATATATTTTCCATTTTAAAAGTTTGGTATCAAAGTGCTTAACATTTTTGGCTTTGGCAAGTGTTTTGTGAAATTAGGGGACGATGTTGGTAAAAAATTTTAGCATTTTGTCTGGTTCATAATTAAAAGAATGTTTAGCCATCATTGAAAAATATAACTATAGATAAGCTAAGAAACTCTATAGTCAAATAGCAAATATAAATTATTTTTCCTTCAATTTGGTTAAATAGAAAAGTGCAAGGTTCAAGATATTACATTGGTCCCTTTTTTAATCACCTGGTGGTGACTTTAGAAATTATATTAATAACAAGGATAGGTTAAAAATAAAGTGAGGGTCTTCTATGTGGACAGTCACATTTGTCCAAAGTTGAAGCTCAAATTCATTACAAGAAATAACGAACTACCATTTTTAAAGTATCCTGAAGTTTTATAATAAAATGTGTGATAAGTATTTCTAAGAAGTCATTTATAATCCACAGTAATAGCAAATACTTCGAAGTACAAACATGTTTTATTAGATAGTAAGTCAGTCTTCTGGCGACAAAGATGTTGTCCCTACTAGAAAAAAAAAAAAACACAGTGCAATTAAGCTTAAAATCGCTTGAAAAAAATAGTGCATTTAAGCCTAAAATCTCTTAAAAAATAGCGCAGTTAAGCCTAAAATCTCTTGAAAAATAGCGCAGTTAAGCCTAAAATCTCTTGCAAAAATAGCGCAGTTAAGCCTAAAATCTCTTAAATGATTAATAATAAATATGATGCTCTGAAGACAAATTACAAAAAAGGGTAAAAGCCACAAATCTTTTATCTGATATTTTGCATTTATCCAGTTAATGCGTGTGTGCGTGCACGCTTTCGCATGTGTGTTAAAATATTGTTTGTAATTTATTTTGGGGGGAAATTATTAAACAATCTTTTTGTTGTTGAAAAATTTTCATTTTTGCAACGTTTTTTTTATATTTTGAATGCCAAATTTCTCCTGTTGTATATTGTACAATTGTTAAAGTAAAAATGTGAGTGTCTCCCTGAGAATCTTTTCGGAATTAATTCGGTGAAGTAAAAACAGTAAGTTTTCTCTGTAACTGTAATGTATAATTTATAAGAATGAGTAATAGAATATTTACTCTTCCGTAACTTATCGGAAACAAAAAGTTTCCAAAACAATAACACTTGCACGCTTCCGGAAATTAGAAAAAATAATAATAGGGTTATAGGTAGTGGATTTGGATAACAAGGAGGTTATAGTTATAGGTGATTCCTTGTGGATAGGATAATAGGGTAAATAGGGAGAAAAGAATTTTCAAAGGAGGTGATAAAAACTGTCCCAGTAATTGTAGACCCATTAGTCTTACATCAATTGTAGGAAAAGTTTGATAAAAAATACTTTGTAAAATCATTAAACAAAGTTTAGAATTTTATTGGATAGTCAACATGGTTTCACTAAGAAAAAATCTTGCCTTACAAAATTTTTAACAATATTTGAATAGGTTACTATTTATGTAGATCAGGGTAAGGGTGTAGATTTGGTGTATCTGGATTTCAGCATGCAACATAAAAGACTTGTAAAAAATTATCTCTATAGTTATGGGGGATAAGTTAGCAAATTGGATTGAAGAAACCAGAGGGTTGTTACAAATGGAGTTCAGTCAAACTGGACTAATGTTACATGTGGGGTACCTCAGGGTTCAGTCTTAGAACCTTTGCTCTTTTTGATTTACATCAATGACATAGATGAAGGAATGGTCAATAAATTACTTAACTTTGCAGATGATATTAAGGTCTTGGGTGTTGCTAGCTGTGAAGAGGATGCTGCTGATGTATAAAAGAATTTAGATCATTTAGTGAGTTGAGCAAATAAATGGCTGATGGATTAATTATAATAAATGCAAGATAATGCATGTGGGTTATCATAATTCGAATTATAAGTATATGGGTGGGAATAACCTTAACAGTGTCTTGAAAGCAATGGATCTTGGTGTAATGGTTGATCAATCTCTTAAACCATCCAAGCAATGTGCTGTTGCTAGTGGTAGGGTAAATATGATTTTAAGTTGAATCTACAGAAATATTGAATACAAGTCCAAAGAGGTTATAATTTCATTATATAAGTTATTGGTTAGACCACATTTGGAGTATTGTATTCAGTCTTGGGTTTTTTACCTTAAGAAGGACATAAAAGGGTTCAGAGAAGAGTTAATAGAATGGTGCTTGAGGTGGAGAGATTGAAATCTCTCAAACTGTTTCCTCTTGAACAAAAAAAGAAGTTAGAGAGAATCTGATTGAGATGTTTAAGATTGTAAAGGGAATTGACAGTGTTGATGCATCATCTTTTTCATAACTAACAGTGGTAATAGTAAAAGTAGGGGACATAAGTATATATTTTAGCAAGCTGAAGTCAACTTCAGCTAAGACAGTTATATTTCTCTAACATGGTCGTTGGCTTCTGGAATGGGTTCCTTTCGGATGTCGTAGAGGCTGTAAATTTAAGCTTTGTAAGTACATGAATGATAAGGGCTGGCTTTAAGGTTTTTTATAATAGTTTTAGTTTAGTTCAGAGGACGGGAAAGCCGAGAGGGACCAATAGGTGCCATGTTGTCCAAAAACGTTATGTTATATATATATAAAGAAAATAAGTTTTTGCAGAATAATAATTCTGCTGTGACTTATGTTCACTGAATGTTGACGTAATATTGTTTGTTCTCTAGCTTACATACTAAACAAACTATGTAATAGCATTTCTTTCTTAACTTATACAACTAGTATTTCACATAATAATATTTCTACTGTAGCTTACATACAAGATAAGATAAAGACCTTACGTAATAATATTTCTAATGCTGCTTACATACAAGATAAAATAAAGACTTTACGTAATAATATTTCTAATGCTGCTTACATACAAGATAAAGTAGACTTTACGTAATAATATTTCTACTGTTGCTTACATACAAGCTAAAATAGACTTTACGTAATAATATTTCTACTGTTGCTTACATACAAGCTAAAATAAAGACTTTACGTAATAATATTTCTACTGTTGCTTACATACAAATATGTAAGCAACAGTAGAAATATTATTACGTAAAATAGTTATTTTAGCAAGATAAAATAAAGACTTTACGTAATAATAGTTTCTACTGTAGCTTACATACAAAATAAAATAAAGACTTTACGTAATAATATTTCTACTGTTGCTTACATACAAGCTAAAATAAAGACTTTACATAATAATATTTCTACTGTTGCTTACATACAAGATAAAATAAAGACTTTACATAATAATATTTCTACTGTTGCTTACATACAAGCTAAAATAAAGACTTTACATGACAATATTTCTACTGTTGCTTACATACAAGCTAAAATAACAATTTTACGTAATAATATTTCTACTGTTGCTTACATACAAGATAAACCGAAAGTTTTTACACAGTGACTTTTTGTAGTTTTTTCTTTATTTTCATGTTTTAAAACATTTCAAAAACAGTAAAATAAAGTCCTTACGTAACTGATTAAGTTGGTCGCCAGCGATTTAAAAAAAAATATCATCTTTATTTTAAAAATAATAAATCTGTCAAAATCCACTTCTTTCTCAGATCTCTGGGATTAATGATAAGTTCTAATCAATTCTAGGTTTAGTTGGTTTATTGGTCACTTGCACAAGAAAGATTCTTGTAATGAGTCAGTTCCTCACTTAGAGCTGCACGTGTTCAGTCCTCTACTACCCTGTTACATTTATCACACTTCTTATTCTTAGATATTTCCTTATTGTTATTCATTCTGTTGCGTTACACAGTCAGCAACAGAGTAAAAACCGAAAACAGAACCTACTTTCGAAACTGGCGAAGAATTAGAAAACCTGTACATGTTATATTTTGTAGTAAGCGATGATTAAACCGTGTATTTCTTAAAATAAACTTCTTTATGAGTTTAGCGGAAGTTTGAAGAGACCTTACTACATTTTACGTTTCCTTTCATTTTTGACAACTTAACATGTTCTCCTTACTTTACGGGGTTTAACAGGTACTTTACGAGTATGATCAGTCATTTATAGTTGAACCAATGTTTGTTCTTAAGAGAAAAATAAAGTAAATACACTTACATATGAAGGTTTTTTTACCGTGTCGATGAGAAAAAAAGACCCCAAACCTGGAGGTATAGATAAGTTCCTTTGTGATAAAGCTTTACGAAATTATTAAACTTCTTGAAGAAAGAAATCACTTTGAATATAAATAAAAAGATGTGAAAAACTTAACAAAGATTTACCCTTTTCTCTAGATTGTAAAAAAAATAGGGTTAGGTAATCACAAAACGTACAATTTCTCCTCAACTCGGATCATCACAAATAACAGCCAGAGATTAGTTGGGCTGATACTCCATATACTGTCGTGTTATCAAGGCACCCCACCGTTTAGTCCCAGCTGTTTACCTCTTATCCGGCACATGAACTGAAAGTTACAATGACAAGAAGGCTAGAGCCTGGGCGTTGATGTCCTTCCTCCCTGGTCCGAGGGCAAGAGTTGCTGCAGACAACTGGGTTGAAGTATAATGACGGGAGATATCTCCGGCTTGGTTAAAGCGTTAACCCTCTGACTGGCAGTCTGTTCTACCGCCTGTTCTACCAGATCAGGAGTGTCCCGTTTCCGCACTGGCTTACTCCGAAACAGGCTGTCTACTCCAGTTAGCCGTTCAGCCGTTACAGGTACTACCTTTGCTCCAGTGGATTCTTTCATCCCGAAGGTAAAAACATAGGCAGCAACGAGAGTGATTCCCCCTATCCCCATGATGATGGGGCCCACATAGGTTAAGTATTCGAGTCCAGTTCGTTGACTGATGTCTACGCGAAAGAACCGCGTGCCATTAGCGGCAACATCGACGTACGTGGATAAGGGTTCGGCGTAGAAGCCGACCACCATCATTGATAGCCCCACCGAAAATACAAACGACCCAATACTGAAAGCTTTGCACGTTTTTACGATACACTCTACAGTGATCCTCTCCCGAAGCTCGGCGATACAATTCCTCTTCTCCTTGTTTTGGGAATTATTTTGTGCTTGATACGATCCCCGGTAATGTTTCTGTCGGCGCAACTGTCTGCCTATGACCGCTGCGTTGTTCATCGTCTCGCTGGATTATCACATTGTTAGGATAGTTCAACTGTGTTATAACGTCACGGAATAGAAGTTACTATGAATAAATTGTTGGTACTCTGGCAACAAAATAGCACATGTCACAACCAAAACTGAAACTTAAAGTAACTTATCTTGACTTCTCATGGATGGGGACGCTGCGTTGCTACCTTCGAGAACAGAACAAGTTGTGGTTTTATCTATCTCTTAGGGCTTGTCTCTCTTACACGTCGTTTCCATGACTGCTGTTTCTACACTGTCAAATATTTCATTCGCTTCTGTTTCAATGCGTGAAAATTTGCCACATCTTTCATAACTACCAAAGCAACCATAATCATCCACGTTTCTAGAGCAGATGTCACGACTTGCTTGAGTCACGTACAGTGACAAGACCCCCAGTTGGTCGGATCTTTTGAGATTCTCTTCATTACTAGGCAAGAAAGATGACTTTTCTGTATCGGTTTCTGTCACCTCAAGTTATATGGTAATAAAAGTAGGCTTTAATTGACTGTGTATTCCAAGTTCTAATCCATTTTATGTAGGTTCATTAGCAGGAACTACTTGTGTCTTCAATTTGTCACATCGAAAGGTTCTTTTGCTGAAAACCTGCTTATGACAGATCATACACCACCTTTTCCAACAGCTGGCAGTTAACGTTATCGGAGGTTGTAGGAATCAGACGAGAGACCGGTAAAACGACGCATGTGCGCAAGTCAACACGGATGTCTAGCTCGTGACGCTGGGAAAAGGTGGAATGTGTTCCTTTATATCAATGAAAAAATATAAGCCGAGTCTCCCTGGTGTTCGATAATCCGTTGAAGATTTCAACCCACGTTTTTAATGACGAAGCAATGTTTGATTAATCAAAATAAGGTAAAAATAATAGATGATTTCAGTAAATGATGATAAAAAAATGGATGAGTAAAGCTAGAAAATGACCGAGATTATCAGTAAATATCCCGAAATTTATTATCAACGTTTACGTAAATTCTCCGAGATAAAACACTTACAAGAAACTAGTACAAATTAAACAATACCAGTACAAACTTCATCACGGAATCATATATACAGATACACGCACACCTAAACAGCATGGAATCTTTTGTCCTAGTTTAAAAACTAAATATTATATTATCACTGCACGACGAAAACACCTTGTTCTAACCTCTCCGGATAAAATCTTTAATTCTACATTATCAAATGAAACGATGGGAATAAGTTAACAAGGGGTTTTCGTCGTGTAGTGGTTAGGTTGTTTCATTTGATAAAGTAGAATTAAAGATTTTATCCGGAGATAAGAAATATTGTATACTTGTTTAAGTAAGTATATAGGTTTTTCTTTTGTTGTTAGTTTGTTAAAGTGAGAGTAAATGTTGAGTTCCTGGCGAGGGGAATATAAGGATTGTTTCTCCTTGAAATGGGCATAAAGGATTCGTTGCCAAGATAACAATAGAGTTTTCTCTGTCGCGGTGATGTAGGAATAAGTTGTTTCATTTGATAAAGTAGAATTAAAGATTTTACCGGAGTGGTCAGAACAAGGGGTTTTCGTTGTGAAGTGATGGGAATAAATTGTTTCATTTGATAAAGTAGAATTAAAGATTTTACAGGAGAGGTTAGAACAAGGGGTTTTCGTCGTGAAGTGATGGGAATAACTCTCACCACGAGAACCAAACCCTTTACTCACACCTGGACAAAGAAAATTACTCTCACCACGAAGTAAAGGGTTTGGTTCTTTTCTTTGTCCAGGTGAGTTACTCTCATCACGAGAACCAAACCCTTTACTCTCACCTGGACAAAGAAAATTACTCTCATCACGAGAACCAAACCCTTTACTCACACCTGGACAAAGAAAATTACTCTCACCACGAGAACCAAACCCTTTACTCTCACCTGGACAAACAAACAAAACTTCTTGTTTTCATCTCTATAACTAAACCCTTTACCTGGACAAATACATAACCCTTATGCTCACCTGAACAAACAATACATTTTACTCACCGAGACAAACAAATACCTCTTATGTTGATGTATATAAATACTGCCAAAACCTCACCTTACCACCACAGCAAAACAATAGCCTTTAACTAATCTTGGTTTGTTCTGTCATACGCTACCTTCTCTGTTACTACTCTCTCATGTTGATCTATATAAATACTGCCAAAACCTCACCTTAGACCATGTAACTCTTGACTTGGTTTACTTTCCTACTGACTGAGTTTTGTATTTGTGACAACTGTAATTATATTAACTAGTAAATAGATATTCATTCAGTTTAAACTTGGGTGACAGGATTTTATGTTTTATTGTTGTTAATATCAGAGCAAAGGGTTTGGATTGTTAGTGATAGTCAAGGTCAATAATTTAGTTTGCTCTGGAAAGGCTTGATGTGGAAGTCTTGACCATAATGTTCTATATACTCGAGTAGTAACAGAGAAGGTAGCGTATGACAGAACAAACCAAGATTAGTTAAATATATTGTTTTGCTGTGGTGAATGAAAAAGATTAAATCATAACCTTTGACCTTGTCAAAATGATTAAACCACAACCTTTGACCTTGTGAAAATGATTAAATCATAACCTTTGACCTTGTGAAAATGATTAAATCATAACCTCCAAGGTCAAAGGTCACGATTTAATCATTTTCAACAGTATTTTATTGTCGAAACAAATCATTCACCAGAGTTGCGTGCCTTTTGATCCCCGCCCAAAACTTCAGAAACATGATAGCAAGTCGACCGCACACCGCTTCCGACAAGGACTTAATACCAGGTCGGCTGGGAATGCAACACACACAAAGGCTGGATCGAAAGGTTGTGTATGTTAGTCATTTTACAGTATATGTTATTGGAAAGCCGTAGTTGTAAAGTAATATTTATAAAAACAACCAATCACAAGCTCACGTATCGCCAGTACAATACGTTATTTATTATAATAATTTAAACAAAGAATATATATCGTTATTCAGAACAGACGTATTTTTCAAACATTTTATAAGACATGGAGTAACACGTGCGAAGTCAAGAGTGTTTGAGCACTGCTGTTTTGTCGAGTAAGACCCAAATTAACGAGCTCGCGTATCTCTGTAGGAGCCTACTACATTAGGCTCGGACTCACGACGTCACTTCCACAAACTAAAATACATGTCATTCGTGTAGGCTGCTTTTTTCTCTGAGGATGCCGATTACATTTACCTCCGGGCGCTGAAGTACAGCCTCACGCCGTCAACTATCGACCTGAACCCGGCAAATTACTGTCCTTCGGGAAGAAGAGCCTCGATACCACTACAAAACATTACCGTACGAAAGAACTGAAATGTGTATGTATGAGACTCAGAGTTGTCAAACTGTCAGACTAACAGACGTAAAATAAAACAGACTCCAAAAGATAAAGGTATAGGCGAGAAGACAAGAGGAGTTGGATGTGAGAAATAGATAAACGACAGAAAGATGAACAGAAAAGAAAATCGGTGAATAAATTTTAGAGAAACAGAAGGCAGATCGATTGATAAATCAATAGAAACACCAAACAACAGAAAATAAATCAACAGAAAGAGTGGTAGGTCAACAAATAGTTAAGTAAAATGACAATCAATCAATTAATAACTCAACGAAAATACAAACAACAGACATACACACAGACCGAAAGATAGATAGACAAACTGATAAAAAGATCAACCAGAAAGAAGACAACCATTTAGTGTCTACAAAATACATTATTAAGCTAGAAATCGACCTGTGATCAATTGATCGTTTCTGTCACGTGACTAATAACTGTTGATAACAGTAGTTATACACAGCTAAGACTTGTATCGATAACCAATTATTCTTAAATAACTGTTTCGTTAGAGAAGCTTTCTCTACCAGACTTTTTTTCCACCTCTTTAATATTTGGTAAGGAACGGGTTGTGGCATTTGAAAGAGCTGAGAACGTTAACTTGAAATTGTAACCTACATACATGTTTTACATTGTAACGAGTTACCTACATACATGTTTTATATTGTAACGAGTTACCTACATACATGTGCTACATTGTAAAGAGTTACCTACATACATGTTTCATATTGTAAAGAGTTACCAACATACATGTTTTACATTGTGAAGAGTTACCTATATACATGTTCTATATTGTAATGAGTTACCTACATACATGTTTTATATTGTAAAGAGTTATCTAAATACATGTTCTACATTGTAGAGTTACCTACATACATGTTCTACATTGTAAAGAGTTACCTACATACATGTTCTACATTGTGAAGAGTTACTTACATACATGTTCTACATTGTAAATATTTACCTGCATACATGTTCCACATTATAGAGTTACCTATATACATGTTCTACATTGTAAAGAGTTACCTACATGCATGTTCTACATTGTAACGAGTTACCTGCATACATGTTCTACATTGTAACGAGTTACCTGCATACATGTTCTACATTGTAACGAGTTACCT